TGATTTAGTGATGACACCTGAAGCGCTTGGCCAAGCCTGGACTAATTTGATTTGTTCAATTAGTCGGTCGTCATAAATCGGAAATCAGGAAACAAACCTTGGACAGAGAGAATGATTATAATACATGTCTCAGTCCATACGATATCTAGAATGGAGGAATATTTGATCCCTTATCTAAAGGACGTGTTACTGATACGATCAGAGTTTGACAGCGGCTTTTGAAAGCTACGATTGCTAATCAGATTCTGAAGTCGTACTTGTAATAATAGTTATTAGACTTATCCAAGTCAGAGACTGTTGGATTAGGTGTCTAAGCCCATAACTATTTTTGGTATGTGCTTGATGTGATTATGAGCATGGTCCTTTTGGGTTGTCTTCACTCATGCAACTTGATAGGATGACAAGAGGAGAGAGAGTAGAATTTATTATATGAATAATAAATTGGTACTCAAAATGGTTTTATTAATATATTACAAGATTAATATATTATTTGGAAATCACATTATTTAATTAGTATTGATCAGAAATTAATTTAGAATTAATTTCGTGGTCAAAAGAGACTGATTAAATAATTGGGGACTGATATTGCAAATCACTGATAGTTGCCATTGGGCTGATGGATCACCTTGGAATAAAGATGGACGAATTTTATGGGAAGCCCATGAAGAATTCGTCTAAGGGGTATTCTAGAAGGTGTCTATGGGCTGCTTAAGGCCTAAGCAGTCATATTAGGGTTTCCACCTAAAACCTTAGCAGCCACAAGTATAAATAGACCCCAATATTAAGGATTTTCGTCAAATGCTTTATGAAACCCTAAGGTGGCCGAAATCCTTCTCTCCTAAGTCATTCTTCTTGCATTGGGTGTTTGTGACTCCATTAGAGGTGCAACACTTGGGGCACTAGGCTTTCAGAAGTCAAGATCAAGAAGGATTGTTCTTGTTATTGTTACATAACAAGTGAGGTAATGTTCCAAACCCTATTTTACATATGAATTTCGAAATTGGTATGCTAGCTATTAGGGTTTACGCTTTGGATGATTATTTGTATGTATAACTTGAGAAAAACATAGATCCAAAGCATTAGGGTTGCATGTACACCATAGGAATGTTGTAGTGCTCAAAACCCATCATTATAGGTGTCCACTGATCCTCTAGGAAAGATCCCTCAAGATCATCATAATAGGATTAGTAAGTGAGAGTGATGGGAAATGGGGTAATTGGGTTATTTGAATGTTGATTGTTAAATAATTAAAAATTATAATATCATGGGTTGAAAACCATATGTATCTCACTAGGTTTCCCAACATGACCCACTTAGTTGATTGTATCACAGGTAATTACATATATGATGATATATGTATCCAATAAGAGATTCAAAGAGACGTAGACCATTAGTATAAAGAGATGTTGTAAGTCGTCGTTTGAGCTTATGTTTCTTGTATTGACGATGACATCCAAATTTTTTAAATAGATCAATGAAAAACATTGCTTCAGGAATATTTTATAGGACAAATTCTGCACTTGTAAATTAAAACTCAGATTTTAGAATAAGTATAAACTGGTCTTTTCTGGCCGCGAAATTGGGGATGTCACAGATACAGTGACACCGACTTTCAGACGGATAAAGACAACTTTAGTTCTCAGTCAGGTTGGATGTTCACTCTGAACGGTGGAGTGGTAACTTGGAAGAGTTCCAAGAAGGACACGGTGGTTAATTCAACCTGTGAATCAGAGTACATAGCTGCAAGTGAAGCATCAAAGGAAGCGGCTTGACTGATGAACTTTATCGGTGACCTTGGAGTTGTCCCGAATATTCTGGAGCCAATGAAATTTTTTTGCGATAATGAAGAAGCGGTTAACTTGACTAAGGAACCAATAGATCATGGAAAGTATAGACATATCGACAGAAAGTACCATTACATCATACATAGGGTAGAAGAATGTCACATCATCGTGAAGAGGGTATCATCAGAAGAGAATCCTGCAAATCTTTTGACGAAGGCTCTGAGTAGGGTCAAACACAGTCAGCATGCTAGGAGCATTGGTATGAAAGATGATATTAGTTTTAGTAGTTAGATAGTTAGTTTGAAACTTGTAACAAAGTAAATGTAATTGATCTTTGGTGATTAAATAATAGAGAATTATTTATAAGTTTGTTTACTACCTTTTGTCAATTGTTTATTCTTGTGTTTCATTTTGCATGTTTTACTTCCTGAATAATATGATTATTCAAATTCCTTAGTCGGTCATACTTTTGGAAGTAAGTAGTGAATTAAGATTGTCATGAACTGGATTGTAGATTGTCTAAGGGTATTAGACATAGCATTAGTGTTGCTGCAATGTTCATGGGTACTTAGAAATGGAGATTTAAGTATTGGATAAACCCACGCTCAAAGAATTACTTCATGGAATCTATCACGAGTAATTCCGAGACGATAATATCTTATGATCTTGAAACGAAGATTTATGAGTTGTAATTTACAAGTCGGTTGTACATTGGTAATGCGTAAACGCATCAGTAACTTGATATTATAAAACGTATTGTCATGCATGATTTGATAAGTAAAGGATACAGGCATATGAGTTAAAGTTTATCCATTCCTTTTGCCCTAACGGGAAAAGCGATATCTTTGGGCCCCTCGGTGATTTGGTGTTGATTTATAGTGTTGGGCCCAACCAGGACTAAATTGATGTGTTCGATTAGAAGTCCTAAGTCATCACAAATCAGAAATCGGAAAACAAAGTCTTGGACAATGAGATTAATTCTATTCCATGTCTCATGTTCGAATGATATCTTGCAGAATGGAGGATTATATGATCACTTATCTTAGGACACTTAAATGACTGGGTCAGAATTTGGCAGCGACTTTTGGAAGCTACAATTTGCTAATCGATTTAGAAGTTATACTGGCAGTTATAGTTACAAACTTATCCACTGTTGGATTAGGTGTCTAAGTCCATAACTATAATTGGTATATACTTGAATTGATAGTAGCACAGTCCTTTTGGGTTGCCCTCAAACCTAGCAATTGGACATGATGACTTTTGGAGAGAGAGATTAATTTATTATATGATTAATAAATTAATATAAAAGGTTTATTAATGCATTATGAAAATAATATATTAATTAGAAACAATATTATTTAATTAATAATTAATCAGATTAATAAGAATTAATTTCAGGATAAAAAGAATTAATTAAAAGTGCAGGATTTAAAGTTCAATTGTTTAATAGTTGAACAAAAGGCTCCAGAACCTTTCAGGTTAAGGGTGGACGGTTTCTTAAGGGATATTCTAGGGTTTCTATAATATCTCATATGGATAAATAAGGAGTTGGATAATTACCAATTTGAAATATTATTATTATATTCCAATTAGGGTTATCCAAGGATTCCTTGTACCACTATATAAAGGACCCTAATACCTCTAAATTTCACTCACTCCATTCTCTAGAGAGATTGCTGAAATTTCAAGCCTCTCCTCTCCTCTCTCCTAAGTCATTCTCTTGCTAGTTTGGATGTGATTCCATTAGAGGCACAACACTTGTGGTGCTTGCTTCTAAGAGATCTACTTTTGAAGAATCAATGTTATTTACTACGATAACAATTAAGGTATGTAATCCTAAACCCTATTTATGTTTTTCGAAAATTGACTAGGGTTCTTAGGGTTTCTTAATTGATGTTCTTAGTTATAGGTTCAATAGAGAAAACATAGATCCTATTTAGGTTACATGCAAACTTAAGGGTTTTAAGTTTATTTGTTTTACCTAAATCCTATCAATATCAACTTATAAATTATAAGGTGGACTAAACTACATACATTAGTAACATCGAGAATACGTTCACAGTCAGGTGCATGCAAACACCTCATCCTAGGATATGAACTGCCTGAGGGATAACACCCGGTATACGTGAACCAACAATACTACTGTTGGGAAATGCCTCGAAGATCCAAATCTACAAAATTAAGATGAAAAAAACTTACCAAGTTAACAAAGTTACAATACTTGTTGTTTAAAAACTTTTATTAAACATAGTGTACATACCTTAAATACATAGACAATCCCTGCAGAATATATGTGTGTCTACTGCCGATTCTTGCTGAATTTGGGTTCAAATGGTCCTCAATCTTATCAAACACGGTACACAGCTATTTGTAAGTGAAATCCCATATCAATCTGACCCATGGGTACCTTTGTCAAAAAATTACACTTAATAAGTATATGTATCATTTTGATATAATGTGGGTAAAAAACTATTATACCTGTTAAACTCCTATAAATTAGAGACGAGTGACATATGTTCATTAGTAATTGGATGTCACAGGTATTTTCCCAAAGATCCTTGCTCTAGCATATACAACAGGGAGACTCTCACCACGTCTTCATTGCTTAATTGATGAAGTGGGTTACTGAACACGTTCGTAAGTTCATCCATACTCACCGAACGTGAAAGTGGCACAAATGGAAACACATGTCTCTGAATGCTGCAAAACCAGAACTGGGATGGAAATAATCCCCGAACCGCAGACAGGTGACCAAGCATAATGCTTTCTTATCAAAGCAAACTCGATATGGATGTTAACGGGACCAAACGGGAGCGGAAATAGCTGCCCCCACCCCCGAAATCAGTTGTTGCCCTCGCCCCTGGATCCCCCGTTTACATAGCCCCCGGTTACCTCCATCGCACCCGGTCCCGCGCCCGTTCCCCCGGTTTATAGGCTTAAAATTGGATTGTTTTTTTTGCTAAAAAACTGCTTTGTTTTAGGCAAAAAGACTATTTTTAATAACTTTAAAAGCTTAAAACCTAATCTTTTAGAAACTAAAAAAATTAAAAATCCAACATTACAAAACGACAATTCCAACAATCTTACAAAGACAAATCCAACATTACAAATGCAAAATACGACAAATCCAAAATTACAAATATAAAATACCGACATGTCCAAAAATATATGACCATTTCACTACATCTTCAGTATCCATTAATTTCCTTCAACTCTTCATCCATTGACATTTGAATATACTCCCTAAATAAATAACAAAAATAATAATGAAATAAATTATTATATCAGTTTATTCAATACGAAACGACAAATTGAACAATCTTACCTCAATTCCTTCGTTGTCTTCATTGGAATGTAAAGCATCACCATCAATAACACAACCTAACAAAGAAAAAATAAATAAAGGTAATAAGCAAAATATATTAAAATGAATAAAAAATAATGGTTCAAGCAAAGTCATACATACCTTTTTTACCCGCCCATAGCCAATTTTGAGTGCATATGATAACTTCAATTGTTGACGGAAGAAGTCTACTCCTATGTGGACCAACGATTCTACCACTTGTAGAAAAAGAAGACTCTGAATCAATAGTGGATATAGGAATGGATAATATGCCTTTTGCAATCAAACACAATGTAGGATACTTAACCCCATTTAACTTCCACCAAACTAACACATCAAACTCATGAATCTGGGGTAAAGTGCTTTCCTCTAAGTACCTTTCTAATTCATTTTTTACAAAAACTTCACTAGTAGAAGAATTCCATGAAAAGAAAGCATCTAATGAGTCCATGTCACTTGCAGAAGTTGCATCTCGACTAGAAGTGGGCTTACTAGTAATATCATCATTACTTGCTTGACTCATAATGCTTGACTCATATCGCAGATATATATCTTCACAAATTTGACGCACTTTCTGAATTTCATCTTTTGCATTATCTACTCCATAGATAATAAGGAAAAAAATACTCTAGGAGCTTCATCTTAAACCTTGGATCCAATATCGTCGCCATAGCCAACACCCCGTGACTTTCTTTCCAATACTCATCAAACTTTGTAATCATATTCTCGGACATTTCGCTTATTTCAATGAAACTAGATGTATCCCATTTCTTTAGAGCAATCTTTATTTCACATATTTTGGGGAAAAAATGTTGGTTGTTGGATATTTTGTTCCCGAAAATAATTATGTGACATTATAGAAGATTTTTAGTCTATCACAAATCTCACTTGCCAAAGCCCACTCTTTCTCATCAGGCGCACTTTTATATTGGGGCTCACGTTGTTGTAACCGATAAAACACCTTCTTGTATATCAAAGCCGTGGAAAACATTAAATAAGTAGAATTCTATCGTGTTTTACAGTCAACAACTAGGTTTTTTTTCACAAGAAACATTCTCAAACTTTGCATTTTTTGAAATGTATCAAGTCTTTTTGGTGTAGCTGTCCAAAAACTACAACTGTTACACACTTTCTCAACCCCATGTCCAAAAACATCCAACCCACTCCTCACAATTAAATTCAAAATATGCGCAGCACATCGCATATGAAGCAAGCTTCTACCCAAAATCAAGCTATCAAAAGGAAGTTTGTCTACCATCAAATCTATCATCCAATTATTTGTTGAACACTTATCAACAGTTAAAGTTGATAATTTTCTATCTATGTTCCAGTCCAACAAACTATCCATCAACACATTAGTTAGTTTCTCAGCAGTATGGGGACATGACACATATATAAACCTATCAGTTAACAAAATAAATTCAATTTAATTAAAGAATGCATACTGATAGATTAAACAAATAAATATAAATTAAGTATTACATCAAAAGACGACTTTTTAATTGACAATAATCATCAATGAAATGGGTTGTCACTGTCATGTATCCTTTTTTTTTGGTAGTTGGCAGTCCACATGTCGTAGTTATTGTCATCCTACCTTGAATACTGTAACGTCCGTGTTTCTAGACTAGGCATTAATATTGACATAATGGTCTAGGTTAACCTTTGTGACTCATTTTGAAGAAATGAAAAAGGAATTATGTGAATTCTATGTGTTTTATGTGTTTTATGCTTAATTACTAGGAGTTAATTAATTAAGAATAAAAATAAGCATCAAAATTAAATTTTAGATAAAGCCGATATCTATTAAGAAAGTTGTAGCGGTCGTGACAAGGATTACGGATATATAAAGAATGCTGAAATCCGAGTTATAACGAAGAAGTTATGACCTGTCGAAGTTTCACGACAAAACCAGCTCGATGCTGAATGTCGTAAAAAGTGAGTTTTCGATAAACTACTTTTTAGCCTTGGTAATCTAAACGAAACTTGTAGTGTTGGTTAAACCGAGAAGTTCGATAAAAAGAACGCCCGAATCTGACTTCGTATGAGGAAGTTATGATTTTTCGAAGTTTCAGCTTAGCAGTAGACAGCTAAAAACTCGAATTTTAGATCGAGTGATTTTTAGCCGACACAAACTAAACGAGAATCGAAGGTCTCGTAAATAGTAGCACAACGGTAAAAAGTCTGACGAAAACGGACGTCGGATGAAGAAGTTATGAATTTTTAACGGATTTCCTGTCCCGGTCTATTAAAAATAATAATATAAAAATTAAAGTCAAAATTAGCCGACGAAGTCTAAACGGAAGTTGTATAGCGTAATTTTACCTACGCGTGCATATAAAGAACGTCAAAAACAGAGCTCGTATGCGAAAGTTATGGATTTTAGAAGTTTTTGCACAAAAACCGAGAAAATTCGCATAGTCACAATTGCCACGTCACCCTCGCTTAGAATATGACACGTGTCCGAAATCTGTGACTCATGCGAAGCCACGTGGCGAAGCTGCTGAGTCATCCGAGCACATGGCCTTATCCGAAGCGGTCCAGTAGCCATGCGACACGTACCCTCTTAGCACGAGACCGAACCCTCGCTGACTGCCACGGTGCCTAGGCTTCGGACCCGTAGACCTCGGTCCAATAGGAGACTGCCAGCGAGCCTTCGCAGGTGCGACCCACGTGCAGCCCTCGTGCGAGCCTCCTCTGCGAGCCGTCGGATCCGCGGAGCGTGGCCACTTCTCAGCCATTGGATCAGGAGGCTCGGCCCTATAAATACAAGGGTGCAAGACCTCCCGGGGGTACTTTTGAAAATTGTCAATTTTAGCCCCTAAACTCATATTTCTTTCATATTATCACCCCCGAAGCCCCGGTATCAATTATAAGCCCCGGAATACGCCACGAAGTGCCCGTGAAGCCCGGAAAATTTATCTTTTCGGTTTCGAAGCCCGACTTTTGCAGAGCCCGGTTTCTCAATAAAACTCCCGGTTTTATTAGAAACGATCGTTTTAGGAAACGAATTGTTGCCCGATTTTCAATAAATCAGGTGAGTGTGTAGTTATTTTCACCTTACACATAGATATGAAGTATTTTACATAAAATACGTGTTATGTGAATATATATTGTTTGTTTATTTGAGATGGGTGTTGAAGGAATGATTTATACAGGTTTTTAAATAATTTAAACTGTATATGTATTTTTATCTATGAAAAATGTTGGGTAAAACATGGGTAGATGAAATAGTGGGTGTGATGAAAGGTGAGTTGGATAAAGGAGATGATCAGTAATATTGATCATTAGTTGAGGGTGAGTGGTGAAATTTGAGAGAATCACTTACCCAAAATGTTGACCCCCGTCATTTAGCAGAGTATGGATGACAACCATGGACTATTCTAGACAGTCTGTGGAACACTAGCATGCCCGCAACCTGTAGGTGTAATGAACTATATGTTCATTTAATGTACTCTAAAAACCCATTGACATGTATTGCAGGGGGGAATACCTGTAAATAATACTGTCGATAAATGAGAGTTATGAACTTAGCATATGTTGAATAAACCTTGGCAGCTATGGACTTAGTGCATGTTGTATAAACCCTGGTGATGGTGTGACCTTGTGCCTATTCCTTAGGATGAATCCTTAGGAAGGAGTGATAGTTGAATCTTAGGGTAAACCCTTAAGAAATTAATAAGATAATGGGGTTGGGGTAATTTGGTTGATTGATTGATGTTTAATTACAATAAATTTATTTATTGTGGGTTGAAAACCCTATATGCTCACCAGGCTTCCAAGCCTGACCCACTCAGCTTTTTATAATTACAGGTAGTGGACCCCGAGCATAGTCGGATGATGATGATGAGTGATTTATGGATTATAGGCCAGTAGTTATAAATAACTGTTGTAAGGCTTATAATGTCTTGTTTATGCTTTTGATCTGTATCAGAACATGACATCCCGAGGTTTTAATATAAAAAGGAAATTATATATTTCTTAAAGAAAGGTTTTCATAAACTTTTATCATATGTTGTTTTGGGGACCAATTTCGCAACATCTTTTAAAAAGATTCTCTGATTTTATTTTAAAAAGCATAAATTAAATCGGTCTTTTCTGGCCGAGAAATTAGGGGATGTCACAGTTGGTATCAGAGCATTAGTTTAAGCGAACTAGGAAATTTGTAGGATTTCTAGACTTAAACTTAGAATGCTAAGCGATGATTGTGAGTTGAGTGTGTCTATTATATTTTAGGTAGTACACCTAAATTGACACGAGCTCTAGTTTATTTTAGGAAAGAAGCCTAAAATGCTTTTATGTGCTAAATGCTATATGTTTGTCATATATGCCATTATTTGTTCGGATCTATGGTCTGTTGCCGACCGGATCTGGAAACCTTATGTGTGTAGGATTCTAAACGTATGACTACGATATTAGAACTAACATATAAACGTTTCGGAGTAATAACGAAGATTTAACGCCTATCGAAAATAAAGATCTAAATTCACCTACGAATGGTGTATAGATCGAAATGGCGAGTACTCAAAGTGGATTCGGAAAGGATAATCCACAGCCTGAGCCAATCACGATGGTTGGGGTGCAGGCAATGGTGCGTACGATGTTGGATCAACAGATGGAAGAAACAAAACGTTTACTTCAACAAAGTAAGTATGAACTTACTATGCCAGTACGTCAGGCATCTGTTCTTGAGGCAACTATTAGGGTTGCTAAGTCTATTGAAGAAATGATCAATGACAGGACCGCCAACAAGGTTGAAGTTGGCAAGAAGAGGAAATTTGAGGGGTCTTCAAGGCCTAATAAGAGCAACATATCCTCAAAATCTGGCAAAAGAGGAGGTAAAGGAAATTGGTGCGGGAAGTGCAAAAATAAACACTCTGGGGATTGTGACAGGAAGGTGAAGTGCTTTAGGTGTGGAGAAATAGGGCATTACGCCAATAAGTGTACGATTCCCAAGGAGGTGTGTTATGTATGTAAAGAAGAAGGCCATATTTCTAAGAACTGTCCGAAGAACAATGAAGTAACAAGGCCAAGTGCACCATCAACGCCAAAGGAATTTCAGGATATCCTTGACGAAGCGATTAATAACGCTAGGAAGTAGAAGTAAAGACTTGATACCCGAAGATCAAGTTACGAAGTAGTAATGTGAATAGTAACAAGTGGTTTAGCCTATTAGAGGCATAGTATAGGGTAAACTTGAACCTTTGTGTAATCGTTTCAAGGAAATAATATAAACCCTGGTTTTGTCATCTGATGAATGGAATGGTTGGTGTAATTTTTGAAGTTGTCCCAATCGTCTGGAATTTCCATCACCAACCAAGTTGAAGCAGAATTGATGATTGAAGATACGTATGGAAGAAGTCTTAGTAGAGTCTAGGAAAATTTTATGATTAATTGGACACATTCGTATGTGTTAAATTGTTTTGTGATTTTAGGACTTGGGGACTGCGAGACAGTACTTGGGACGAGTATGAGTAGGTGTGAATAGTAGTAGAGATCTATACTACTGGAAGCACAGGACTC